TAACCTTATTATTATACATGATTTTTGTAATATTCAATACAAAGAGTTAATGATCGATTAAATCTGCCTACGTAAATTTTAAATTATTCCACAACTATGCTGCCTAACAAAATATATATAGAATGATACCCATTGCGTATTCACTGACAGAGTCTGAATGATATGATACACCACATTGTTTAAAAAAACTACGGCATCATTATCTTTCCAGAAAAGACAGGTTGAAGACAAAATTAGTGCCAATAAACGTCTGTTGTTGTCGTTGTCCACAGTGTTAACTTTCTGTGTTAATCATGTCATTTTGTCTGAATTAGTATTTTTGAAACTATTAAATATGCAATATGATTAAAAACTTTACTTCAAATTTGAAAATTGAGTTTGGAGCTGTGTCAGTTTTACTTGATATACCACAGCATATTAAGTTGTTCACTAGTTAGAATTGAATATAGTGCACATGTAGTAACCTAGCCTACTGTTTCAGACAGTTGTGATGTCTTTTGTTTTGAAATATTGTTCTCTCGAAAGCCCCACGAATAATACATTTGCAAAACATTTGTATATTAAATGGTTGACACTATTAACTAAATTTAATACAAGACCACAAATGCATGATGTTGTGCCTTACAAGTGGTGGCATATCTCAAAATATCGTTCCTGCTTTAAATGTCTTTTCATCTGTCACTTTCTTTTATTGTGACATTAACTTATTTTTGTTTAGTTGATAATCAGCTAAATAAAAGTTTACAGTGGTCATAGAATCTGTTCTCAAAATAGATAATGATGTAAGGATGTAATGTATATCGACTGCTACAAGCATGTTCTGCTGTCGTCTGAAAGAACAAAATAAAGCAGATGTGAATAAAAATATACATTATTGTATAAAAGTATTTTGAACACTAAACTCAACTGTTGTCGAATTTCACAAAAAAAAAAAAAAAAAATTATTCAAATTGTTTTTCATAATTTTGATGAATATGTGTAGCCAATGTGGAATAATGTTTGTTTGGTTCAAAATTAACAAAAATTGTGCAAAATATTACACACAAATTTTGGCGGGAAGTTGTAACATTCAAAATCTTCAGACTGTAAAAAATATTTTCTATGACCATCAGGTGTGTATAACTTATTTTGGGGGGAATTTCATATTTATTTTCATGTACACAAGAATATGATTTGTAAAACATGTTAGTTTAGTCTCTTACAAAATTGAATTGATTTTTTCGAAATGATGAACTACATAAAATGTATTGTGTACTTTTGATTATATTCATTATTAATTTTCAAGAATTTTTGATTTTTCAATCTGTACTCTTACAGTCAAAGTAGTCTCTGGTTTTTTTTTGAAATTTGTAGATATCCCATGAAAATCTGAAAATGGGAAGCAGTATTTATAATCGTTAATATAATTACCAGTGTGTATCATCACACCATACATAGTCAGTATCTCATTTGTTAAAAATATCAACGCTTACAGAGACTGGTGTCGGAAGTAATCACCTTTGATATGTTCTATAAGTATTACCTGGAATCTAGGTCACATGAAATATATTGAAAATCGTAATGTTAATGTTTCACGATCAATTTAAAAAAAAAGAAAATATCTATCAAATATTTTCTACCTTGGAGAATATTGATGTCTCCAAGGAAACTACGTCAATATTATAAGCTTGTATTGTACTGATGACATGGATTTCTGTGGTTGGGTTCGATTTGCAGTCGCATTCCAAGGCCAGAATTTGTTTTCCTATGGAAAATGGAAATATTGTGGAAATTACCAGATGAGGTGTGTCTGTGTTCAAACTAAATTATATTTTAATGACAAGTAAATGCAATTTTTGTTTTTTCCTCTAATCAAGATGTTCTTGTGAATGAACAAATATGGTATGTGGTCGCTAAGGGTGAGGCAATAGACATTTTCATGCAGATTGTGAAACTATTTGAATACAAATTGCACCTTTAAAAACCTTAAATGCTATTATAAAGCAGAAATGGATTGAATGTAACATGCATTAAGAGACAGACAGACAGACAGGTGTTGTTACTATGAGTACAGGAGCTATGTCCATTAGTCGTTAACTTGGTTTTAAAAACCTCCTAGCAATCATACAGCTGTGTGAATGTCAGTTCAATTTCCATCATCTCTCCCCCTCCACGTGTTCTTTAAGGCAGTTTTCACCCAATTCTAATCTCTGTACTGTTGATGCTCTCCTGTGCAGTGCTGTAGTGTATGTGCAATGCATTGTGGGTAAGCACTTTCAACTGTATGTAATGGAAAACTAATTATCACACTGAGTAATTATCAATTTAACAAAACAACATGAGGGTTCATATCAACAATCACTTTTCCATCTAATATGTCACAGAGCAAAATTTTGAGATATGAAAAGATAATTTCACCATAGAAACTAATGTAGAAATGCCAATTTTTAGCATTTTTATTGACATTTCGATCTTTTGTTTCACCAAAAAAATGTCCAGTCACTTTAATTTAAAAAAAAAATATTTGTTTTTTTAATCCATAATAAAGACAGCATGAAAGAGATGACATATTATCTTCCATTCGACTTGAGTCTCTATAGACCCTGTTGCATTTACATACATTTGATGTCCAATGTACATTTAACACCGTTGGTGCTGTTTTATACCATTCATAATGGCTATTCGTGAAGGCTTTCACAGACGTTATGTTACTGTCATATACAACACAGGTTTATATCATACAAAAATGCTTGGGCAATTAATTTCCATGGTTACAATAAAACCACTGATTAACAAATGTAATCGTAAGTGTATCAGATCAGATCATTACAAGACTGTTCAAACATGCATTGAACATCCCAGGCTTTGTAAATAAAACTCACGATCACATAAGTGTACGGAATAACAAATAGCAAGTGAAGTAAATAAAAACTGCCTATGGATGATATACTAGCTATTATGTATTCTGTTGATGCGAATGGCATGCTATTACCATTGTAAGGAGGCCACAAGACTTCCCATTCTTGATGGATTTCTAACTGCTGTTGATCCTTTAAAATAAAATTTTCAACTTGCTTCCTGTAATTTTTTTTGATTTCTAGAAATTAACTTTGAATCAAGCGCATGTTTGTACGAGATTTATGTGAAGATAATGATCAACAATTGTTTGTAAAAAAACTGTGATAGTATTTAAATCTTGACTAATTTTTGTTATAATGAAAACAGGTTTATGATGTGTTGTTCTCGTGTTGAATATAACGTGCATTAAGTAGACAGACAGACAGACAGACAGACAGGTAACATATCTATCATAGAACTATTTGAAATACAAGATGCAACACTACAAAGCTTCATCATCATTATACAGCTGAAAAGAAATGACTTGGATGATGTGCAACCCTCATTCATCATACATTTCAACGTTTCAACATTTTGATTATATGCCAGCAGCATAAGAATTTTACTTGGGATACTCTACTCAGTGACCTTCAACAAAGAATACATGCCTTCCTGTCTTCTGTTGTGTGAAAGATTAAAATCCAAATGACTAGATTCATTTTATCTGTCAAATCAGCGTTGCAGATTGTAGTATATTCTGAATTGAGATTTGTTATCTATCCTAGAATTGATAGAATATTGTCGTTGCTATGGCTACACAAAGTGAATAATAAAACATATTAATAAGATGTTGAAAATAATTTTTTGATTGGGATTTATTATTGCCACCTTTTCAAATTAAAAAAAAACAATGATGCATGCTTGATTATTAAACTTTTGGCCACCGTATTGTTATCATCACATTTATTCCAATTTATTTGATGATTTTGGACCAGATCAACATACCGGTAATTTGGCTATAGGTATCAATCAACATTTTTGAGAAAATCAAGAACAAAAATCATGGGGATTTGATTTCATGAAAGGTGAATTGAATTTTTGCACCCAAAATATTATCCTGTCTGAAATGAACATATATGCAATATTCAGGGTGTATAAAAAACAAAAAAATTAATTGAACCACTGCATTAAAACTGAACAACTGAAAGTCATTCTGATGTTAATTATAATGTCACGTTTCATATTATCCAGATTATGTTGGTTTTTGGTAAAGAAGATGCTCAGAGTGATGGATTCTGGTGGGCGGCTGATAAAGGTGGTTACAAATGTAACATTGTAAGGAATCCTACTGCTGCGTTGGAGTGTTTTTTAGAAAAACACCATGATGTTATTATAATAGATCGTAGACATTCCAAAAACTTTGATGCAGATGCACTGTGCAGGTGAGTACAATTGTAAATGCATGCTGAATATTATGTCAATATCTTGGGAATGGATGGGGGTCGATGTCGGTGGAGAAGGGTGCTTGTATTGGATCTATTGTTATGTTTTTTTCTTTGTGTGCTTCTAATAGTGTAAATACAGTATTTTACTTTCCAGATGTATGTTACTAAATTGCATTTCATTGGCCCTGAATATGTATAATAATTTGATATTAAACTCGGTAACGAAAAATCATGTTGCAATTCGGGTGTTACAGTGCTTTTGAGGTGAAAATGAAAGCTTAATACAAACAAACAAACCACTTCACACATGAACATTGTATCAACACAAACAATGCAGTGTGTCCTCTGCATATTTCAGTGTACTGTGATACAAATATTCACGTTGCATGGTTACAGCATTCTACGCTAAACGCACCAGTTTCCCGGTTTGTAAACCAAGTCAAAATTAACAGACTATATCACTATATATAACAGATTTATCACTTTACATATGGTGTTGGTATATCATAATAACAGTAAAGAAATTCCCATCATGCCATATTGGATTAAGTATGCTTGACTGTGGCTTATGCACTATCTTGCATATGGTGCATTATAGCTATATTCATATTTTTTTGCAGGTCAATACGAGCCACGCGACCCAGTGAGCACACAGTTATAGTAGGCGTTACAAAGAAATGGTCAGTGCATTTATATAATTGCATTTGTTGAATATTTGACATTGCATTCAATTCACTTGTTACTATATCATGGCTCCACTGTTATTGTATTTGATACAGAGATAGAAACGCTTAGCAAGTGTTGATGTTTCACAATAAGTCAAATCGAACATACCGGTACTCTAACATCCTCTGTTCTTATGACTAATGTATGCCAGTGTAATGATCCAATCTCTGAAGCTTAAGTAAAATACACTGGGAAAGATGAAAATGTATTAACTTAATTTCTTTGTGCTATTGTGGTTTTGTAAACTGGATATATAAGGGAACATATTCCCAAAAGATTCAATAATATTTCTTAAAGTACACAATTATTAACGGCAAAAAAAAAAGAAGTAAATACTGTTCAGCAAAACGCAGTAAGTGATGTGTAATTCACTTGAAAACGATTACACTGTGGACAGGAAGTCATCTCCGAATAGATGAATTTTTAAAGACGTATCTGATTGCTAGTTTCCTATGCAGAGTTTCCATGTGTGATTGAAAATTTGTTTAAAGTGCAATTATAGTGTTTACCATTCTGTCTGTATTTTGTATTTTAATATCTTATTGTTTCATCAATGACGTTACTCAATCAGTTATTGTACCGTGCGCAATAACGACAGCATCTTTTGTACAGATGTCACAATTACCTTGTTCTTAATACAAATGACTGACAACTTAAAGGTATATTAGACATTTGTCCTTGTCAGCGTCCTTGTCATAAACGTTTTTACCTTGCGTCAAATGATTATTTGGTTAAAACGCCAGTCATCGCTGTTGCAGCATTACAGTGGGCGTCCTCTAAGAGTGTTTACAGTTTCTTTCTCTGAAGTTCAACTTGTGCAGTTGCCTTGAAAGGCTGAAGCTAACAATATGAAAAATTACTTTTGACAAATTCATGTAACGCTCATTTTTTTTTTTTTCTGATGTATATGTCCCTGTCTGTGTGTTGTCAATTCCACCATCAGTTTCCTTTTTTCATCACAATCTCACAAAATAGTCCAGTTTATAGTCCACACTTTTCTTCAGAAGATTGGGACAAAAATAGCCAAATGTTTTGAGTAAAAACTGATAATTGACTTGAATTTTGTCTGTTGGCTCATTTCCAGAAATATTTAAGAATACCTTTATAAGAAAAAAGTACAAAATAATGTCTGGTGTTGACAAGATTAACAAAGAAATTATAAGTGCATTGCGCTCACTTAAGTTACAGACTTCTTTCTTTGGCCAAAAATGGGTAATATTTTAATGATTCACTATACTACAAATGTGATTTTTGGTTGTATGTTCTTCTATTGGAGATGTGCTTCTAATAGAGCAAATATTTAGAAAAATATTATAAAAGTTGCAGGATATTATTAGTGAGAAAAATGTTGTTTACTAAACGGAAACTGATATCACATTTCATTCTTGACACCAACGCCCACTTCTTTTCACTTCAGAAACTCATTAAATTTGTTAATAATGGAAAAAAGTTACCGATAGACTGGTAATTGGATTTCTCAAGTGCCATTATTTTGTGTTTCACTGATGGTTCCATTCAATAAAAATCTTATGTCACGGCTCATTTTTGACTTCACGTAGGCACTTTCACTTTTTGGCACTATCATATTAAATTTTGTAATAAAAAAATAACTAGTTAACTAATAATTGTATTTTTTTAAAGTATTATTATTATTGTTTCCATTGGGTATTGCCAATTTAAAATAACACCTTCCTAATGTCATCTCTGGCTGCTAATGGACTATATTGTAAAATTCTCATTAAATTGATGCTTACAAATTCATTCAGATGCAATGCTATTGTTTCCGTAATCTCTGTTCACATTGTGTAGAACCGAGGATATATTTCCAGTTACATACTTGACTCTTCAGCTGTAAGGTTTGCAACATATAATATCATGAAAATGTTTTTGTGATTTTTGTTGATGCAGGAGCTTTCGTAAGTTATTCGTAATTCTGACTATTTAAAAATACAAATTAAATGAGAACTGGGGCTGACTTTTCAGCGGTCCTTGTAGGTTCGGACTAGTTTCAAATAAACTTGACCAGATTATGTGAAAATGAAAGTTACTATACCGGGTACTCGTTTTTCAATTAAGAATCTGATAACTCTAGATTTTCACGATTTTCAGATCAAAATGGCTGCCAAATATAGCACCCGGGGTGAATAGTTGAAGCTGGTCATGTGTAAAATTTCGCACTTTATTTATTCACAGTGAAAATGTAATGTAGGCTAGAAGAGATAATGCCAGAAAATTGTGTCATCATAAGAGCAGCAAGCGCTTCATCAGTTGAACTCTTGAAATTAAATTATGAAGGGTTGTTGAACTGTTGTTTTGATGAAGAATCTGATTACAGCAAGTTTAAACAGTATTATTTTAATACTGAATGCACCCTTTTATTTCATGTTGAATAATTATATACAATTATTTCCAAGAGTATTGACGCTACTCTGGTGATATAGTCATAAACGTCTGCTGACGTCAAACAGAGAGAGAATATTGTCGGATTACATTTTTTATCGCAGGCATATTTCTACAGTGAAGTGAAAGATTTGTAAATGTTGAAAGTATGAAAAAAAAATATGATAGCATCTTACTTGTTTTTGAAATCTATTGACACGAACGTGCATGTCAACGCCCCCGTACGGTTCTACTCATTTGTGGTGTTTCTCATATAACACGTTTATCCAAGCATATTGAAAACTACGAAGCGGCAGAAACTTACAGATAATAACTCATCTCACTAGTGTTAATGTACTTTTTTTAACATGCGTGTATGTGTCATGCTGTGAACTGAAATTAAACTTTCATTGAATGCTTTTATTTTTATTTGTTGTAAAATAAATTGATATTTTAATTTTGATTTCCTTTTTTTAAACAGTGCATCTGAAAAAGAAGAGCCTTCAATTCTACCACTTTTGAATGCTGGATTTAACAAAAGATATGTTGAGAATCCCAATACAGGAGCTTGTCTCAATGAATTGATACAGTTAGAGCATGGCGAAGTGCGGTTACGACATAAACTATGGTTTGTAAATAAACATCACTAACGTTTGTGAAAGCAACATTTTGCCAAAAACGCTCTGTGTGGGTAGGACCTTGCAGAAATTGTCACAGCTATGAATTTTCATAACTTACAGAAATAAAAAGAAAAAGTCAAATTTTGTTTTTATATTTGGCCAATTATTTGCAATAACAATTTGGCCAATTTTGGTGCCATAGATCAAATTTAGGTTTAAATAAAACATATGTATTGTGATATTTTAATAGTTTGAATTTGATATATTCACACACAACTAAAATTACATGTTTCTGATCACCAACAGTTGTTTGGTAACAAAATCAGAGTATAAAGTATACTTTTGTAAACTTAATACTGGATATCAATAGTGACTTATAAAAGAAATAGACAAGTTCCGGTTCTCTAGTTTCTAAGCGGCCTGGTAAGCATCCTATTGGTCCATGGGTCCTACCCTCTCCGCAACAGTGCTAAGATTTCACCTTCTCATTCTGGAAAATTCAACATGCTTTTAATTTTATTATGCTTATTTTCATATGTTTTCCTTGTGCATTATATCGACTGATAGTTGCCATAACGACGAAAGTGTGACATCCCATTCTTTATGACGTTGCATGTTTATAATTATTAGAACTTTTCACCACCAGTTCCCTCTTTTCAGCACATTTTCAGAAAATAGTCCCAATTATAGTCTGCCCTTTACTTCAGATATTGGGACAAAAATGCGATTGGGACAGAAAATTCACTCAAATTTTATCAGTTGGCTCCAAAATTAGGGTTCATTTCCAAAAATATTGAAGAATATGAGAAAAAAGTGAGGAAATTTGGGCAAGACAGTCTGGTGGTGAAAAGGTTGATGACCCAAAATTGTAGGATTAATTCAAGATTTTTGTGATTCAGGCACAATTTACCCATTGAATGGTAAAATATGGTACCAGGCTAGTACCTTCCTTACACATGCAGTGTTTAAATTGTAAAGCAAAAAAATGTTTCTCTCAATATATTTTTTTTTAAAAATTGATATATTGATCATGCAGTATATAATGAACTTATTGGTGTCCAAGATCGGGAAATAACTGAGGAAATCTATTTAATTTATAAACATTGCAATGACTCGTATAAAATGTGGAATTGTCATATAACTCAAAATTTTACAAAACCAACCTTTTAGAAAGCACGATACTCGTCTAGGTGCTTTTATGCGTTATATGTCGCGGTCAAACTCCTTATATCAACAAATTGTTATTTTATGAGGTTATTACAAGAATACCGCAAAGTATATGCAAAGGCAGTGCGGTGAGCACAACAACTGATGTGTACATGTAGCAAAGGTCTATGTGATCCCATGCTGCCTGAGTGTATACTTTGCAGTATACTCGTAATAATTTACAGTGATCGAGTTAGTAAAATATAAAATCCCGAAAATGTCTACGAAATCAAAACAAAATTTTATTCCTGCCATGCACTACATTGTTGCTGCATTAGATGTAAAAAAAAGAAAAAAAAAAAAGTGTGGTGTAAATACGATGCACATTTTTCAAATAAGATTTCCGTAATACATTTGAACACATCTATGGATTTTTAGCAACAGCTAAATTCAATTGTTTTAACTGCCAGAATCATAATCTGATTTATCTTATTTCTTGTAGGACTGCTAATGCTGTATTTGCTGCTTTAGACAGCGTGTCGGACATTATTGAAATCACAAGTAATGACCACGAGATTCAGTACGTTAATCCTGCATATGAGCGATTGACGGGTTACACTACAGATGAAATAATCGGTAAAAGGACTGACGGACTCACGAAAAGTGATAAAAACAAACAAGAAATTCTAGATACAATGTATTCGCAATTAAAAAAGGGAAAAGTGAGTATATTCGTTTATACAGTAACAAGCTGAGAATGGATGTAGGTATTACGAGTAATAATGCAAACTTCGCCAAGCAAAAGCTTGTAATCTAAATTTAAATGATAAAAAAATAATAAAAAAGTAGGCTACTCAAACTTATTTTCATGGAAATATTAATTTCATGATTCCCTGGTGGCCATTTTGAATTGCAAATTGTTCAAAATACATACAACTAATTAAAAGTTTAAAATTCCAAAAATATGTCTTTTCATCAAACTTTCAAATCATCCATCACAGGGAATCATTTATCACTATTTCATAAATTCCACCTCCAAATTGTGTTAGCTGCGTTCTTGCTTGATGTCATTTCTTGCTTATAATTTTCACATTGAAATGCAAATCAGAATTATGTTGATTTCTTTAAACAGTGCCCTCTAGTGATGGAGCACTGCTGTAATGTAGATGGGTGGCAGCATCGCTAATGTTTAGATTTGTTGGATTAATTGCAGTTTTCTTATTTTATCAAAAACTTGGATAAATGGTTCAAAATAAGCAGAGAAATTATGTCACTTTAAATGTGATAATCTTTTTCACCAAAAGACAGTTTGCACATTTTTATGTTTTTTTATAAAATTTCTTTTTTTATTTTGCATCAAATGAATGTAATGTCCTATTTCCTGCTGGTCAAAATCAACATTGGGTTAATGGTATACATTAATTAGTCCCCATTGAGCCACAGTCTGAAAACAGACTTATAGATTGACCTGTGAGCGTGTTCATCCGTGCCCACCTCTATTTTAGACATGCATGGGCTGATCACATTCAAAATTAGACATGAAGAGACCTTTATGCTTGCCATTTTGTTTTTCGGCTGACTGGTGGCCATTTTTCTAAACAAATGCTGTTCAGTTCTGTTCACTGTTTAACTAAGAGGGACACTGTCATGTCATGACATTTCTTGTTTAAATTCGCGATGGATTCATTAATTTCTTAAAGCTCCTACAAAATTCAACCTTTGGAAAATAAATGTACCGTATAACATTTGTCATGCTTACAAGATCTTTACTAAAAATAGAACATACGGTAATCATGTTCAACATGTAAAACAGATCAAATGTAGACAAAGTGCACAGATGATAAAACCATGGTTTCTAGTATTACTACTGTAAAATCTGTATTAGAAGCCGTGGCTTCTATTAAAATGGTACAATGCAACACAGGGGATGCGACTTCTATTAGAGCATCTACACATATAAGAAATGGTGAATTTTTGGTTCTCAATTGTTCAAAATGAATGGGTGCGACTTCTATTAGGGTTCTACGATAGTACTTCACTATGGCTTTTTGTAGTAAATCCCAAGAAACTTCACTACCAACACTGATTAAAATCAGGTGTGGATATAGGCTCCAATATTTTTTTATTTAATTTTTTTTAAATTAAATTTTTATATTTTATTAATTATGTTTTATTTATGACTATTTTTCGGATTTACTTGTCCATAATGCCTTTTTTTTTATATGTGGTTTTGGCGACCTTGATACAATATATAATAAACTTATTAGGGAAAGTAAAATTGAAGAAAATAATAAATATGAAAATAAAAAAAATAGATAAAAAATGGAACCTTCATTAGATTTTAATCATGTTATTCACTGCCTGAACAAAGCATTATTTAAATATCCCAACTGTTGTGTAAATTACTGTTCTAGTTTTTGTTTACTTTCTTTTTATTAGCTCCGCTGACGACTTTGTCGAGCGGAGCTTATCTTATCAGTAATTGTCCGTCGTCCTCTGTGTCTGTGTTTTACTTTTTCGACTTCTTCTTGAAAACTACAAGCCTGAATGCTTTGATACTTGGTGTATATGTACCTTGGGTAGATCTCTCTCAGATTTGTTCATTTCATGATGATATCTTCAATTCTCTAAATTTGGTAAATATTTTTGTCATTTTTGGTGAAAAATTATATTTTCGACTTCTTGTTAAAACACTCAAGTTCAATTGCTTTGATATTACATATATAGGTACTACATGTGGACCTCTCTCTGATTTGTTCATTTTGTAATGATATCTTTAATTCTCTAATTTTGGTGAATATTTTTGTCATTTATGGTAAAAAGTGATATTTGCTTTGATATTACATATATAGGTACTACATGTACATGTGGATCTCTCTCAAAAGTGTTCATTTCGTGATGATATCTTTAATTCTCTAATTTTGGTGCATATTTTTGTAATTTTTGGTAAAAAGTGATATTTTCTTGTTAAAAACCACAAGTCTGATTGCTTTTATATTACATATAAAGGTACTACATGTGGACCTCTTTCAAATTTGTTAATTTTGTAGTGATATATTCAATTATCTAATTTTGATGTTTATTTTTGTCATTTTTGTTGAAAAGTGATATTTTTGAATTCTTGTTGAGAACAGCAAGGCTACATATTGTTCATTTTCTAATGATATCTTCTGTTCTTTAATTAAAATGTGCATTGCTAACAGCGGGGCTATCTCAGCCGACAGGCTGCTTGTTTGAATTAACGTCAACATGAAGTGACATCGTTTGTGTGATTTTCATGTGCCACAATTCAGTCCTAGGGAAATTTTTCTGATTTGTTCTCAACAGATGTGGGAAGGTACTTTTTATACAAGACGGAAGAACGGTGACAGTCTATTACAGAATGTTCATGTTACACCAGTTCTCGGTTATGGAGGGTATGTTACGTTTTTATTATCTGCTTACAAAAGTTGATATCTCACGCGAGGGAGGTACACTGCAGTTGATAAAATAATGTAAGATGTTATCATATATTGTGAAGATGGCATGCTTCCATTTTGCTTCCACTTTCAGCGAGAAGACAAACACAGACAGAAGGACAGTAAACTGGTCAAAACTATAAACTATAAACATGTGTCTCAACAAATTGTTATAACGGAATTAACTTAGAAATTTTCTAATCTGTTCTATTCTATTGGTTTCTATTATATTCTTTTTTTTCTTCTAGTTCTATTCTATATATCTATGCTATTCTCTTTTCTATTTCTCTTATCTTCCATTCTATTCTCTGTGCTATTCTTTTATATTGTATGTTATCTTTTTTTATGTTATTTTATTCTATTCTATTCTATTCTATTCTATTCTATTCTATTCTATTCTATTCTATTCTATTCTATTCTATTTTATTCTATTCTATTCTATTCTATTCTATTCTATTCTATTCTATTCTATTCTATTCTATTCTATTCTATTCTATTCTATTCTATTCTATTCTATTCTACTGATGTGTGAATGTTCTTATATTTTGCAGCAAAGTGCGTCATCATGTCTTCGTCAGAAAGGGTACAAATTACACTTCTGACAGCAACCAGTTAGAGAAATACAAGGATGGGGCAGAGCTACCAAATGGTGAGTGCTACACAAAACTTGTTAATTCAGTTAGATTTACTTTCCGATTGATCAGTACCAAACCAAGGTTCATTGCACCAGTTTTATGCAATACATGATTAGATGGAACATTTTACAAACAATACATACCTAAAAGAAATAAAGCAATGCATATACATATATGGAAAACGCAGTTCATATGATTTCATAGTTTTATGTTAACATACACATTTAGGTCAACGTACACTTTAAGGTTTGAGGTCAACATTCACTTTAAGAGCAACATAAATTATTTTGATGTCAAGATACACTTTTTGTACCTTGTTTGTCTAATTACTTGTAAAACTTGCATATAGTTCTAAAAATTGCATTTTGTTGAAGGTGGTCTTTGCGTTTGTTTTATGAAGTTTACAATGTAGGTGTTTGTCTCTCTTTTCCCATTCTCTCGTCTTCATTATCTCTTTCTCCTTCATCTCTTGGTCTATACTCCCAAATTATTCACTTCTATCGACCTTGTAAGACCACATTTTATTGTGAGATGTGTAAATTGTACTACCCTATTTGTAGCAATGGCATTTTAATGGGAAATTGAAAAAAGGATCTCCCGAGACAACCATGGGAGCAAGTTAAAAAATAAATGATATGCCAAGCCTTTTTCTTTCTCTCTTGGGGGGATTTTAAATGAAACTATTTGGCAGTCATTATTCTGGAAAACGATTTGAAGTAAGAGATTCAGATCTGATGATATCAGAATAAGGTCACTTTAGGTTGTTATATTTCCAACACTGAGGGCACATTCTCCAAATACGATTTCACAACTGATGACCATTGCCATAGTAACTTCAACAGTGTTTGCTTGTTTTCTGTTTGTTGATCTCTCATTAGCAATCATCTGCTTCATTTTTCCACTACAGTCCTTTTTTTTTTTTTGTCAGTGCTTTGCTTAATAATGTCATTTTTTTAAATAGTGCTGCTCGTGTCAAATTTTGAAAATGTTTTTGGTTCTGTGATATATTGTGAATTACTTTTAATTTGAAAAATGTATACATTTACTCTGAAATCCACAACTTGGGTTAATGCATGTCATTTACACTATAAACTTTGACATAAATTGCCTAAATTTGTTTTGTTGTTTTGCAAATTTACCCCATCATAAAACATTAATTTCCTGGCAAAGCATGCAATTATTTAAGTAATGCTTGAGTTTCAGTTCAAAAAGTGTCAGTCACAAGTTTTTTTTTTTTTCTCTAACATGAAAGAAAACATGGAAAAAAAATGACACTCACTGCACAATTTTTTTCAACAGCTCAGAACCAGAAACAGAAACAGAATGATGTGTTTTTTGTGGTCTTAACCATTTCACCACCAGTTCCTTTTTCTCATCACAAATTTACAAAATAGTCCAGTTTATAGTCTGCACTTTTCTTCAGAAGATCGGGATGAAAATAACCAAATTTTTGGAATAAAAATTTACTCAAATTTTGTCTGTTGGCTTCAAAATTAGAATCTATTTCTAGAAATATTGAAGAATACAATGTATAAGAAAAAAAAGTGCAGAAAAATTTGGGCGAGAAAAACTGGTGGTGAATAGGTTAATGGTGGCCATGCAGTACATAAATAATTTTTATATTAGCACCATGCCTCAGTTTGTATATTCATCTACCATTACATACTTGTATCTCATGCTCTGTGATGACATCAATCGTTTTGTGCTGTTGACGATAGAAACCATATATGGATTTGCACGGCGTGGTTCTGTTGATATACGTGGGTTGCGTAGAGGGTCTCTAGATATTCGTTCTCTGTCAAGCGATCAGGGTTAGTGACTCATTCTTGTTTCATCAGTTCTCTTCTTCCATGTGTTGTCATAAATACTGTGTATTGTATCTCGTTAATGGTTACCATAGCGACATCTATTATGTTTGTTTTTAGCATGTTCTTCTCACAATAATCCGACATGTCCTTGTTTATGTTTATTGATTTATATTCACGTTACTCATATATAGTTATTCAGCATGTTTTTATTTGCCAATCTGCGAATTGTCCTTTCATGAATAATGTAAGTTTCACTCAATCTTTACAATGTTGGCTTGGCCAAAGGGTTATATTATAATTTCTTATCTAATCGTCCAATATAAGTGCGCATAATTCAATATTTGCATTTATTGTGTTTTGGATCAATTAAATACGACTTACCGGTACTTTGACCATATACAATTCTGTCAATTATTTCAACTCATCATATGCAACTATTAGAGCAAATTTGGAGTAATTCATTACATTTTTCTGTGGAAACTGTGATAAAAAATATATGACTGATATTTGGCTTGTGTTAATATTAAAAAGGATGTTGTTTCATGAAACAATTATGGTATAATTGTCATACAAATTTATTTACAAGTAATTTCAAACAATAGTATAAATCTGATACTTACCCTGATTCATTTATGTCAAGTTCAATGAGTTGGTTTCAAAATTTTGCATGTCAATATTTTTATTTTATTCTTGTATTGATTAAAAACTGCACCTCACTGTTTATACAAGATTTCTCACATATGCATAAATAAAAACATTTATGAACTGCAAACTGATAAATAATAGTTACGTAAGATCTTTATTTACACTCCGGTACCCCAAATCTTATAGTTCATAGTTGTTTCGTCATCTCAAACTCATAATTTTATTTGTCAGATTTATTTACATACATCTATTTGAATGTCAGTGGTCTCAGTGGCAAACACTGCAGTGTAATGTTCAACATTTTGCATTTAATTGTCCAAATTCGCTCTAAATTCGGCAGCCAGCATGATGTGTTCACATGGTTCGTGCAACATGCAGACACCATTGAAATGAGATGTTGGTGTGATTTGCATAAACTGAGGGGTATATTGTGATTAAGTTCATTCCACGTAATTATAAACCCCCTTCCAATCAGCTTGGCTTATTAGAAAAATAGAGATGACAATATACAAGACTCATTTAATAAACTGATATATATCGATCGTTCAATAATGAATACTTAGGTTATGCAATTGACAAACTTTAATGGAGATCATTTTCAGATCGAGTGGTGAACAATGCAAAATGCAACCATGGCAACAATTTATTTTAAACAGACAATTTCAATACCATGGCAGTAATTATAATCTATTTCAAAATGGTAGTCCTCGTAACCATGACATCAAATTTGTTTGTAAGGCAAAGAAGACTTTTGAAAACTGTTTTCCTTGAATATAACCAAATCTCAATTCTTAACTGTGAAACTCTTGCAAAGTACCATAAATATTCTGCGAGATTTCAGTGTTATCTTCACAGTAGTTGCATACCCTTTGTTTTATTCACCTTTGATACAGCACTGGCACATCGAATGCAAATATGTTTGCTCAAATAATACAGTCTTGTAACACTTCATTTTGCTTTATTCTTCATTAATTTATTACCGGTACATGTATCTTGAAATATGTGTTATTTTTTCCCAGGAGGGATGCATAGAAGACAGTCCATGGCGCGTATACACTCAATGACCATTGAAGCTCCTATCACAAAAGTAAGACCCATTTTTGAGATATTTGGGGGAAGAATGGATAGATGGCACTGACTTCTCTGTTTAATGCTTTGAGCACGAAAGTCAACTTTCGTCACCTTTAAAATTTGCATAATTTATTTCAAAAACTTTGATCAGATCTACAAGTATTAATTAGCAAAATTATCAAAAATATTACAAAAACTTACAGGAAAATATGAAAAATGTTGTACCAAAACTATGACATTCACTAAAACAATTTTAGAGATTTTCTACAATTTGTCAAATAGACAATTTTTCGTTCACTGATCCGTGTTATACGCAAGTAATTAAATGTAAAAACAGGACAAACAAAAGTCATAGCATCGTGGTCATGTCAAAACATTGTGTGGGTTTCGACAAACAGTATTTCAGGGGGTATTAGCATGCTTAAAGCGAGGGAGTCGTCACCTGCGCATGTGCAGATAGCCATAGCGTGTCATTGTTTACAAATAAGTGTCTACCCATGAGCCTTTGCATTTTTAGCGTGTGTTGTTATCGTTGCTTGGGACTCAATTCCCGAGCATGTGCAGGTGACGACCCTCTCACTTTAATAGTGTGCTATACACATTGGATGATAATCAATTTCAATGAAGTAAGGATATCTCAACACAATATTCCTCTTTCTTTTTGACTTTGAGCTATAAGAATAAAAAAAATTCAAGTTCAAAATCAAATTGTTTGTGGCAGACATTTGGTTTGTGCCTTTCATGCGTGCGATAAACGAAAATCTTACAATGAATGGAATATCATCTATTCACAAACGTGTTTCCCCGAAAAATAAAAGCTGTTTTCAGTTACATCCAAATAAAAAATAATATTTTTTTTTTTTTAAATTTATTAAAAATGGTTATATTACAGGTGATAAATATAATTAATGCTGCACAGGAGAACAGTCCTATCACTGTAGTACAGGCTCTAGATAGGGTACTGGAGATCTTGCGTACGTCAGAGCTCTATTCTCCGCAGCTGAACTCACAACAAGTAAAAGAAGAGGATCAGGTGACCAGTGATTATGTTGGTGGTCTCATGTCGGTAAGTCGGGTATCATTCACCATTTCATGTTGTATCAAAAATACATCAAAACTAATTGTATAAGGTTTATTATAATCGTTATAATACATCTAGAATCAAAAACAATAGAATTTGCCTAAAAAATGGTGTCAGTATTTATTCCAAAACATATCTCATTTGAATGTTCAAATTTGTCTTCGTTTGAGGTAAACTGGGTCACCAACTTGATGTGTTAGATTACTGGTGTCATATTTGAAGATTTTTCTTTGCTTAAATTGAATGCGAAAATGCTGTAGTATGACGAAAATAGAATCCCTTCACTGAACCCAAATGTTCACACCGCAAAAAGGGTTTTCGTTGCCTTTTCGGTCTGTAATCTCCCATTAAAGGGGAAGTCGAGGCAAACAACATAATGCTCCCAGAAGAAAGAGCTTCACAAATGTAGGAGAATGCAGTAGGCATACAATCACTTTACTGCCTTCAAGAATAATTTGCAGTGTTCTTCATAATATGAGGTTATTACAAGGATATACCGAAAAGTATGCAGCGGGAGTATGACTGACGCAACAGCGTACTGTCTGAGTGTATATTTCTGCTAGACATAATTACGTCTTTGCACAGGAAGAGCTCGCGCTGAGTACGAGCTACAATGTAATGGGTGCCATCGGTTGGTGACCCTTGCACAGTCGTGGATTGGTTGTCATTTTGTAAATGTAAAGTTACATATATTTGATCATGTGCGTAATATTCCCATTCTAAAGGTCGCCACAGTGGGCGCTTGGCCGGAGCTAAGCATCCATGCACACTTTGGTAGCCAGTTCTAAGAGTCTGGTATTAAAAGCAAATTTAACTCTTATTTTAGCGTTTCTTAGCCAATACTAAGAATAAATAAATCACAAGCACAATTGTTATGATAAAGTCGATTTAGGATGTTAATTTATGTTCAAAGGGTTTGTACTCTCTGTGACTTGAACCAAATTGAAAATGAATATCATTTTCTTTTAGTCTGTACTTTTTTTACAAACCTCAGAGACAAGTACTTACCGTATTTCTTGTATAACCCACCTATTTTTAATAAGTTCTTTGACTTAATGAAATCAGAAGATAAAAATATTTTGATGCGGCTTGCAGCCCTTGTATTTCAAGCCCTAAAGTTAAGGAGCGAAATTACAGAATTGTTGTAATATTAATATGATGATTGTAAATGTACATATATATTATTATTTTCTTTTCAAATAAGCACCCTGTACAACTTGTTTGGGCCTATGGCCTTGAATAAGTGAATAAAGAATCACTACATGTATATATAAAAAATTTAAGTTCAAACGACTTTCAATAGCTAAATGTATTCAGAGGTTATCCCTTGTTTTTAAGAGCAGAATTATACAAGTAACGAGATGGGTCAAGGTGTGTGGGTAATACAACCCATGACACCACAATTATCTACCTGCTCTAATAAGTGATATCAGGTGACACCCTTTTTATCACATGACCAACTTTAAAGTGCATAGAGAACAGAGAAATGGTAAATTTATAGCACTATGTTTAAGAATCGTATGTTAATTCATGCTAATTAGGTATGACATCTAAGCGCATCCGTTAATGCACATGTGCTGCTATAGCTGCCAATGGCTTTTGAAAATGACAGGAATACTATCCTTCTTAATGACATATACCCAAAATGAATAAATTACCATGTGAGTAATTCTTGTTCTCCACTCATGAATTCTCATATCGCAGCGATGAAAATGTTACTGATAGTTTAATTGTGGTTTATTCTTATGAGGTCCAATTTGATTTTTATATATCCCGACACAACTGAATCATTACGTTGTCATTTATAATTAATATTCCATCTTTGTCACTTTGCATGCTGGGAACAGAATAATGGCAACATTGAGGTATCAGTATTTCCCAGAATCCTTTTTGTTTCCTAGCTTCCTATTAACCATGCCTTCGTATCATCTTTCAACATAAATTTCCAGTAATAGTTTATTAACTCTTTGTGTGCCAAAGTCAATTTTTGTCACCATTCAAATCATATTTTCCATATTTGTTTAAAAAATATTGATCAAGACCTCCAGGCATTAAGAAATTAGGTTTATTTAGTCAATGAAATTATCAATGAAATTATAGAAAAATACATAAAAATGATTAAAATGTTGTTGAAAATTTTTGCGGGAAAAATTATGGCATTCAAAGGGTTAATTTTTGTTATTGTTCTTTTATAGATTTTATTCATTATTGATAAAAAAAATTTTGTGCATGTTTTGAGACCCTTTTTTACTGCGTAGGAAACTTGCAATAATTATGAGACACAATCACTATTGGTTAAAAGACTGAGACTAGAGAGAGAAACTGAAACTGATTTGCTATTAGATTTAATATTCATTTTCACCAATAAATTTGTGAGAATTTAGAGAATTTCCACATTTCAGTTACTCTCCGTAGTCTCACAATTTGTGATTAAAATTAAAATTATTAACATTTTTGTGACTATTGACATTCTGCAATCTAGACTATGAAATAATTTAATAGGCCTTGTGTGTGACTATATAAGTCAATGCAGATTTTTTTAAATAATTTTTCCAAAAACGTGACAAAAATTGAGGTAATTTTCTGTCACATACCGCATATATAGCAAAATAAATGCCAAGAATATGTGACATTTAGAAGCACATGCAAGGTCTATTAATATGCCCTTTTCTTCTTGTATTTCTACCATATTTAAACTACGTAGTTTGCAGCATTTCTTCTCCTTTTTATACTAAGCTTAAGAGATCAGAACTCGTATACTACCTGTAGTTAATTGTAGTTAATGCGGGTTTGTGATAAAATATCTAGTTTCAAAGTTTTTTTTTTTTTTTTCGTTTTTACAGCAAGGAATAAACCCAAGAAAAAGTTCTCAGGTTCAATATCACACTTTCAAAAGGTAAGATTTTTGTTATCATTAATACACCCTCAGTTGTAATGCAAATATTTTCTTTCTAACTTGAAAAAAATGTTGAAAAATAAAAAAATTTTGATGAGCGATTTCAAAACCGATTTGAGTTTGGGTAGTTTTTCTCAATTTTTAATAAATTGACTGTTTTCACTCAGAGATGTCGTGTAATCTATGTATGAACACCAAGATGGTACCGATTTCATATTTGTCCCAGCTTAGTGTGGAAAAAATTTTGATTCCATTGCTTCAACCTTGAAGGTGGAACACTATAATTTTTCAGTAAAATTGAATATTATTGATGAGCATATTATGTATATACATGTAGTACGTAGTAAACTAATCTGTCATGTGAATTATTGCATATCAATTTGATTTCCTGAAACTATGCCATATAAAGCAAGAAATTTACAAGACTACATGTATTTGTTTTTATGGATACATGACCATATCACTTTTACAGTTAAATAATTTGAAACTCATTTCAGTTGCGCACCATAACGTGCCATCTACACCGCCCACCAATCAGCATCAAGTACCTCCACATGTGGAAGCCATTTTAGAGAGCGTTGCCAGCTGGGATTTCAATGTAATAGAGTTGGAAAAAGCTACGTCCAAAAGGTAAGGTGCACAAGATGTTGTGCATTCAATATAGCATGCCAATATTATATCTTGTATTGGCAGTGTTAACTAACACAACTTAATGCCTGTGAAAAACTGTTCGATAGCAAAATTCTTGTAATGATCCCTTGATCATAACATCTACGGTATGGTTACTATTAAAATTGTTTTAAGTAAAGTTTTAAAATTGTATTACAATGAATTTTTATTATTATTATTATTTGCAAAACAAACAAAAAATGATATCTATTTGATATAATAGATCCTTTCACGGTTAATAATCAAACTATAAAAACAGTTGCATATGAACTCTGAATATGCTACCAAGCGCTCTACTTGATTGGTTGATTTTTGTATTCCCTCATGAATATTACCTAGCCATTATCATTTGATTTCTTCCTTGTTCAAGATGGCAGTCACTAACCGTGAAAAGGTCTATTTTTGAAGCTTTAAATATGCCAAATAATATTAAATCACATGTATGGATTCATAAAACAGTTGCATACGAACTCTGAATATGCTACCAAGCGCTCTACTTGATTGGTTGATTTCTGTATTCCCTCATGAATATTACCTAGCCATTATCATTTGATTTCTTCCTTGTTCAAGATGGCAGTCACTAACCGTGAAAAGGTCTATTTTTGAAGCTTTAAATATGCCAAATAATATTAAATCACATGTATGGATTCATAAATTACATAACAACCTATTTAAACCATGCTTATCTGTATTTGCTCTGCTGCAGGCCATTAATGTTTTTAGGAATGGCCATTTTCCGGAGGTTCAACGTACCAGAATTTCTTGGAGTTTCAGAAAGTGTTATTTTGAATTGGTTACAAGTCATTGAAGCCAATTATCATAGTACGAATCCCTACCATAATTCATCACATGCGGCCGATGTCTTGCATGCTACAGCATTCTTTCTCGAAAGAGAACGACTCAAGGTACGGCAAAATTATTTTGTAGAAATGTTCACATTGTTGTTTTTACCACAATTTAAAATACACAAATTACATTGACAAGTTTTCATCCTTTTTAGCAAAATTTTTAGTCCCCGTTCGGACGAAGTCTGAAAACGGGGGCTTATAATTCGGTCTCCGTTCGTGCGTCCGTGCATCTGTGCGTCCGTCCGAAGTCGTATCTCAGAATCCCTTGGACCGATTCTGTTCATTCTTTGTATGTGCCTAGTACTTTATGTGGGACATACGCACATGCAGTGGTTTAGCGATTCGATTCAAAATGGCCGACTGGCAGGCCATCTTGTTTTTTGAAAATGTTGTATTTTGGACATGCTTAGTCAGTTTTCATTCAAACTTGGTACATAGATTATACATGTTAGGATACATGTCCATGACGATTTACTTCACAATTGGACCAAAGATGGTCGACTGGCAGCCATCTTGTTTTTTGAAAATGTTGTATTTTGGACATGCTTTGTCAGTTTTCATTCAAACTTGGTACATAGATTATACATGTTAGGATACATGTCCATGACGATTTACTTCACAATTGGATCAAAGATGGTCGACTGGCAGCCATCTTGTTTTTTGAAAATGTTGTATTTTGGACATGCTTTGTCAGTTTACATTCAAATTTAGTACATAGATCATACATGTTAGGATACATGTCTCCGACCGTCTGTGAGTTCCTGAGTCTGTCCGTCTGTCCATCTGTGTGTCGGCCTGTCTAGAGTCATATTTCAGAATCCTGTGGACCGATTACGTTCATTCTTTGCATGTGCCTAGTACCTTATGTGGGACATATGCACATGCAGTGGTTAGTGATTCGATTCAAAATGGCCGACTGGCAGCCATCTTGTTTTTTGAAAATGTTGTATTTTGGACATGCTTTGACAGTTGTCATTCAAACTTGGTACATAGATTATACATGTTAGGATACATGTCCATGATGATTTATTTCGCAATTGGATTTATTTCGCAATTTGATCATAATCAGATCAAAGATGGCCGAATAACGACTGTTTTTATTTTTGGCCATATTACTACTACACGGAACATGTGTTTTGATATAAATAAATAATCTGTTGTATACGCCAATTGGAACTCAAGTTTCAAGGACACGTTCGCGACAACCCCTCCGCTTTAATATGATGAGCACAAAGAGAACTTTCAATAATTTAACGGGGACTGTGTCATTTTCAATGACTTGTTGCTTTTATTCCTTCCTGGTTTTTAATGATAAGATTGCCTGAAACGCCTACATACACCTTGAGTTTGTGTGAGCAGCACTGAAAGGAACCAGTATAGTCTAATCCAGTTTATTCCAGTCAAGTCCAGTCAGATCAAGAACAGTCTGGTCTGATCTAGTTTAATCCAGTCTGATCCAGTTGTAGACTTTTCACATACTCTTTCATCTCTACATGTATACTTTCCGTGATTACATTATATTGACCAAATTGTGATGTATTTGTAGGCTTGTTTGGAACCTGCAGATGAAGTGGCTTCATTAATTGCTGCAGTAGTACATGATGTCGACCATCCTGGCAGGACAAACTCATTCCTGTGCAATGCTTCAAGTGAATTAGCTGTTCTTTACAATGATGTGTGAGTATACAATCAAAGTTATCAAGAAATTGTAATAACTGTATACTGAGAAATAATAAAAACAAAAGTTAATTACAAAAATAGTCCTGTAAGTGAGGGCGCTATGTACGAGATGAAATGGCACATGTGAATTGAAAAAGTCATGTAGTTTGTGAGAAATTCACAAGACTAACAAACCTTACTAGAAATACTATACAAATATGAGAGTCTGTAAAACAACTGGGTTATGTTTGTCATGGGTTGTTACTGCAAGTGTCCTTAAAAAGCTGGGATTCATACATTGTTTTGTTTCTGAATATGGCAATAATCATATTCTTTTTCAGTTTACACAATCATCAATTTCAAGCTATTGATTAAAATATATTCAATCAATGCATGGAACTCGCTTGATAATGATTCATTGCACATCACTGTACATCACTGTTTATAGATACCTAATTCCTTAGTTCTTATCATGTTATGATTCCTTACTTTTCTCCACAATGAGGGAGCCTATTATTAGGTGTAATCTGGGATTTTTAAAAGAACTGTAATTTTATGAGCAGTATTGAGGAAGAACAGCCATTGCAATGTCAGTATATGGTTGCCACTGTGACAGAGGGCAGCACACAGACTGTATGTTATTTAGCAATTGAACCTTACAGAACTTTGTAAATAAACTGTAATAGCTGCACCTCTCAATATTCAGGCAAGCTTTTTTTAGTTATTGCTGGTATCAATTGAATAAATATTCTGAAATTGATATTTTTATTTTAGTGCTGTTCTAGAAAGCCATCACGCTGCATTGGCATTCCAACTCACAACTAAAGATGACAGATGTAATATATTCAAAGAATTAGAAAGGTAAGTGTTAAGGAAGGTTTTGTTTGTGCATAATAATTAGACAAATTACTTCCTGAGCCTTTCATCACTATTGCCAGCTTTTGTAACCTTCCACAAAGTAGTTCTTTGTTCTGTATTTAAATACTGATGAGGAAGGTTAAAATATCACCAACCCTTTTACCACCATTCTAAACTTTTTTAACCTTCCACAAAGTAGTTCTGTGTTCTGTATTTAAATACTGATTAGGTAAGCTACATATTACCAACCCTTTCATCATTATTGCCTGCTTTTGGAACCTTCCACAAAGTAGTTCTGTGTTCTGTATTTAAATACTGATTAGGTAATCAACATATCACCAACCCTTTCCCCACCATTGTCAACTTTTGTAACCTTCCAAAAAAGTAGTTCTGTGTTCTGTATTTAAATACTGATTAGGTAATCAACATATCACCAACCCTTTCACCACCATTGTATTTTGAGAAATATTCCAATGCCCTTCATGAAAAGGTTTTGATTCAGTTTAAAACCTGTACCTCACACAAACATTTTTTTCTGACTAATGAAACTATGGTACATTCCATTATAATTGAGAATGATTATACTTATAATGATTGAGAATAATTCATAATAATGATAATTTATTCTGTGCTGCCTTTATTATACTAACATTGTCATGTTCTTGTCTCACTTCTTTTTTAAAACTAGGGATGATTACCGACAAATACGACAAACTGTAATAGACATGGTGCTGGCAACTGAAATGGTGCGACATTTTGAGCACCTATCCAAATTTGTAAATAGCATTAAATTAGTGATGAAAGATGCAGATGATGGGTCCTCAATGGTATGTATTTGAAATAGTTCACTTTAATTTTTGTTTAGTCAACGTTCTTAGAATAGATTGTTCTGTCTTTCTTTGTGACTGTCCTCTCATGCCTGGAACAATTACATCCAAACTTTGCATATACATTAAATACAGTTAATTAGCTCATGAGTATTAATTAGCAACTGACACTCAAATCAGGCTGGGCAGAACCCTGTATGCACATGTATGATCAAATCAAGATCCCTAAATTTTTCGTGACAAACATGTCTGTCTTTCTGGAAAAGGATCTAATGAAGTTTATTCATCTTGAACATTACAAGATCTGTTATTCTATTATTCATCAGTATATTTTGCGATTACTCATTTTATATACATTAATGTAGACCTTGATATGTTGTATTACTCTTGGTTGAAACCATACGAGTTATCAAGTATTGAATACTGATTTACATCAATCACCTTGCCATTGGATAATTCTTGACATGTGACTTGGAATGAATATCGGAACATTCAGTATGCTGCTTATTTATTTAGTCCCCTTTCGGATGAAGTCCATATCCTATAAATGGTTTCAATTTGATCTCAATGACTTCATCAGCATCATATTGATATGTCAGATCACAAAATTCTGGACGGGGACTGTGTCATTGACAATGACTCTACAAATATTGATCCAAATTTTTGGTAAATTTTCTACAAAATTTGAAAAGAATTTTCACTTTTCAATTTGGTAGTAGAATGAGGTGTGATTTTATAGACAGTTCTATTGCAACAGGATCATGAAAATGTTTGAGAGTAATTACTGGTAGTTTAACATGTATTCAAGTATACAATGTATCTATGGTCTCATTAATTTATTTCTATTTCGCCATAATAAAATGACTTAATATTGAAATCAGGGCAAATGTGTAGTTTTTCTCTTTTTTGATTTGTTTTATCCTATACATACGATACAGTATGTCATTCATTGTGAATGATTCAATAATAATTTTTTTTTTTTTTTTTTTTAGCAAAGCGGTAGAGGTACACCTGATAGTTCGGCATCTTCAGGAGCTCTGACAACACCAGAAAGTAGAACTCTTATAAAGCGTATGTTAATTAAGTGTGCAGATATCTCTAACCCAGCAAGACCATTGAAACTATGTGTGGAGTGGGCTAACAGAATAGCACAAGAGTACTGTAACCAGGTTGGTATCATATTGTCAACTATAAGTTAAACAATTCATTTAATGTCTTCTTATACCTAATTTTAGGAATGCAACACTACATAAAATACTGTAGAATACTTTATTTTTGCTTGGAATTAATTTTCGCTATTTTCGCTGAAGGAATGTTTCAGTGAAAATAAAATCCAGCGAATAAACCTTTTTTCCTATATTTTACATTAAACCCATCAAAAATCAGTGAAAATAAATTCTATACAAAACACCCAAAAAGTCTTTTCAGCGAAAATAAATTCCAGCGAAAATAAAGTATTTCACAGATTATACGATAACGATATGCTAGATTTCTATATATGGTGATATGAGATACTCTGAATGCATGAAACAATAAACAGAAGATGAGACTGAGAATATGTTTGTGTGAAATCATTAAAACATTGTATACCACTTTATTAGCTCCGCTTTTGACAAAGTCGACACAGCGGAGCTGTTCATATTATTGATTGTCCGTCGCCGTCCTCCATCGTCGTCAACTTTACAATTTCAACTTCTTCTTCGAAACCACAAGTCAGAATGTTTTCAAATTTGATATGCAAGTACCTTGGATGGTTTTTTCTCAGATTTGTTCATTTCATGTCAAAATTTCTATTTTTGGTGAATATTTTTGTAATTTTTGGTAAAAAGTGATATTTTCGACTTCTTGTTAAAAACCTGATTAACCTGTTAAAAAAGTCTGATTGCTTTGATACTGTACATATTGTTCATTTTCTAATAATATCTTCAGTTCTTTAATTGAAATGTGCCTTGCTAACAGCTGAGCTATCTCAGCCCAAACTCAATGGTTTTCTTGATTTCAAAAGATATTAATGCAAATTCATTAAGGCAATCAATACTGTAATTTGATTGTTTGCAAATTTATTTTACGTTTATAAATTGACTTGCATCATTTTTTATTTCAGACAGATGATGAGAAGCAGCGGGGATTACCGGTGGTGATGCCAGTGTTTGACCGTAATACGCTGAATGTGTCAAAGTCACAAGTTTCATTTATCGATTATTTTGTTGTGGACATGTTTGATGCATGGGATTGTAAGTATTTATACAAACTTAGGGGGTTATATTTGATGTATGAACTATGATGAATTTATGCAAACTTAGGGGGTTAGTTTGTTATTTATGCTGTAAAATGTCTCAAAAGTTCTCAACCTATCAACAGGTGGGACATTCTTTAATCTCATCTTGGAGCCTCAAACAGAAAGTTCTCAACCTATCAACAGCTGGGACACCCTTTAGTCTCATCTTGAAGCCTCAAACAGAAAGTTCTCAACCTATCAACAGCTGGGACACCCTTTAGTTTCATCTTGAAGCCTCAAACAGAAAGTTCTCAACCTATCAACAGGTGGGACACCCTTTAGTCTCATCTTGGAGCCTCAAACAGAAAGTTCTTAATCTAACAACAGATGGGACACCCTTTAGTCTCATCTTGGAGCCTCAAACAGAAAGTTCTCAACCTATCAACAGCTGGGACACCCTTTAGTCTCATCTTGGAGCCTCAAACAGAAAGTTCTCAACCTATCAACAGGTGGGACACATTTTAGTCTCATCTTGGAGCCTCAAACAGAAAGTTCTCAACCTATCAACAGGTGGAACACCCTTTAGTCTCATCTTGAAGCCTCAAACAGAAAGTTCTCAACCTATCAACAGGTGGGACACCCTTTAGTCTCATCTTGGAGCCTCAAACAGAAAGTTCTCAACCTATCAACAGCTGGGACACCCTTTAGTCTCATCTTGAAGCCTCAAACAGAAAGTTCTCAACCTATCAACAGGTGGGACACCCTTTAGTCTCATCTTGGAGCCTCAAACAGAAAGTTCTCAACCTATCAACAGCTGGGACACCCTTTAGTCTCATCTTGGAGCCTCAAACAGAAAGTTCTTAACCTATCAACAGGTGGG